AGCCAGAACGGAAACCAGAGGATCGACAGGATTATCCACAGGATGGCACCAGCCCACTCTGAGGTCCTTATTGGCTGAGTCTCAGACTCTCGACCTGGTGGTAAACAGTGAACCAGGTTGGGGAAGGTACTGAAGGAGGCTGAGAGAGAAATTTTAAGTGATTTTAACTCCTCTCTGTGCTATGATGATCTTTTTGGTCTAATGAAAGTGAGGGATGTGTGAGAGGAGTGGGATGGGGTGGGAGTGGGGCCCTGGAGGAGGGGGGGGAGCAGGAGCCAGAAAGGAAATAAGGGGAGCTGTGGAATCCCCCACCCCCTTTTAACAGGGGGTCCTCTTCCCCATGTAGTGCGGTTGGTGGCTGGCTAAAGCAGACGTTTGGGCATTAACTGAAGCCCCCAAAGAAGCCTAGATTTCAAGTCTTTCAGACAGGTGACATCCCTGTAATTCCGGAGTGTATGCACCCCCAGACTCTGGGCTCTGCCTCATTTTGTAAACCTTACACAGGGTGTCCCAAAAGGCCTAGTGAAGGTTTAAGCTTTAATAGATTAACACTGAATTAAGGCTTTTGGGACTCCCTGTACAAATGTGAATTACTATGATCAAGTATTTATATATACATACACATACATACAAACATACATGTGTACACACACACACACACACACACACACACACACACACATAGTATAATACAGGCATGGGAGCTAGGGTGAAAAAGAGCCTGAAGCCGGTCTAGAGATTTTCTTTTGTCTGGTCTTTTCTATAAACGCTAAGTTCTTCTTTTCTAGGGAGAGCCCTTGGAGAGAGGTGGGTAAAGTATGGGGGGGTCCCTTTATTCCAGTCAGGGTTGACTGGCAATTAATAATGTGGAAAGGAGAGGTCTAGTTTTCTTGCATTCATAGCCCTTTGAGCCCAGCACCATTCTTTAGTGAGAAAAGAAAAGTGATGTTACGGCCTTAGGCTCTAAGTAACATAAGACAAAGAGATGTATAAAAGGGGTCAAAGCTGAAAGATCTTGGGCGGTGGGGTAGGTATGTGACCTGGGAAAACATAGAGAGATGGTAGTGAACGATCAGGACAATGTGTACTCAAGAGGAGCACAGAGCCCCAGCATCATTAGTGGAGAATCAGAGGACGGTTGCCAGGCTTGGTACCACAACATCTCAAGTTAAGTGACCCCAGAGACCCCGTGACTTTGCTGAAATAGGCTTTTACCTGAGGATATGCCTCAACTCCTCATTTCCCAGCATGCTTGGGACTGGCTGTGTGTGACCTAGCTGGCCAGCAGGATGAGGAGTGCAGCAATGAATAAATGAGAAAAGAGGATTTGCCAGCCCTGAAGCAGGCAGGCAGCCGAAGGGGAGGTGGGTGAGTCTGAGGAGCTGCACTGTCGCAGTTGACTGCAGGGATTTTACTGCAGGTGATTGCAGAGTTGACTGGTTTGGATATGCAAAGCCGCAGAAGGGTCATTCGTTGTCTCCTGCTGGTGCAGGGACCACTGCAGGTGCATCATCTCCCTCGGGTGACAGCTGGCACCTCATCTGACCCACCCCAGGCTGCCAGCTCTGAAAGAGGCCAACTCTGCTTCTCCCCAGGCATCCTCTCCCTTTGCCTAGGAACGAAGGATCGAACTCCCACCTCGGACTGGCTAATTTGGTTTCTTTTCTTTCCTTCTTTCTTTCTCCCAGTTAGTTAGCCTAACTTATTTTGAGGAAGGCGACAGACAGGACTGCATTGTTTCAGATGTCTTAGACATAGAGGCCCCCACAAGTGTCAGACAAAACACTTCACCCCAAATGGTTCAGAGACAAAGGGAATGAATGAGGTGGAGGGGTGCTCTGGGGGCAGATTCATTCATGGGCTTTTCCTTTTCCTTTTGAGTGAGAGATGCTCAGAAGAGGACAAATTAACACTGAACAGTCTCAGCTGATGCTAAGTTATAGGGGTGATGGCTGAGAAAGGGTAGGGGAAGTCAGAATTTCAAAACAACATTTGCATTTAAAAAGAAGAAAGTTGACTTAAAAAATTCAACAGGACTGTCGAGGCAAATGTGTGCATTTGTTTTCTGTTTGACAGCATTTATCATCTTGACCCCCAAAGTAATTTTTCAGAAAGAAGGCAAACTAGAAGGATCTGTGGCCCGAACAGGCCTGTGATTTGGTACCCAACTCCTCAGGGCTCACCACCTGGACTTTAAAGATGGATGGGTGGACAGAACGATAGAAAGTTGGAGGCAAATTGAATTATGAACAGATGAGACGTTTGTAAAAGGATAAAAGGGAGATTATTTAGTAAGTGGAAACATCAATTATGGGAGGAGGTTGGGAGGAGCAAAGTGAATGTTGTTATTCAGTCATTTCAGCCACGTCCAGCATTTGGGGTTTTCTTGGCAAAGATACTGGAGTGGTTTGCCGTTTCCTTCTCCAGCTTATTTTAAAGATGAGAAAACTGAAGCAAACAGGGTTTAGTGGCTTGCCCAGGGTCACACAGCCTCAAGTGTCTGAGGCCGGATTTGAACTGGGGAAGATGAGTCTTCGTGACTCCAAGCCCAGTGTTTGATCTACAGTGTCACCTAGCTGCCCTGGGTGAGCAGATTAGTACTAACAACGAATACACAGGCTTCCCATACATTATTTGAGCCGCGAAGCAACCTGTTATTATCTCTGTTTTTCAGAAGTGGAACCTGAGTCTCTGGGAGGTCTCAGAGTCACATGGCTAGTAAGTGTTTAAGGTGCGACTCAGACTCAGTTCTTCTTCACTCCAAATGCAGGAATGCATCTACTGTGGCACCTTAGCTAGACCACAGATTAGTCAATAAAAGACCCTGAGAGCATGGCGGATTCCATGCCAATGCCTGGCTAGAGAACAGTGAGTGAGACTGCCCTGGGGCGAGGATTGGGAAGGCCTTCCTATCTCTCCAGTTGTTGTCTTTATGGACTTCCCATCCCATGATGCTGACCACAGGGCTTTGGAAGCAAAGAGGGCGACAGCACCAAACCTTGGAAAGAGGAAGAGGAGGAAAGTGGAGAAAAGAAAGGAGGAAAGGAGAGTGGGGCCTGGTAGAGAGATCTGAGCGACATGCAGTCAGGCAGGCCAAGAAACCGAAATACACACGTGTGTATAATATAAACACATCTATTTATTTATCAATCTTATTCATCCATCCATCCATCTTATCACCCACCCATTCATTGAGCCATCCGTCCATCGATTCATCCATCCATCCATCCATTTATCTCTCTCTCTCTAACTTCTCCTTAATGTGGTTTACTGGGCAAGGTTAAGCAAGGAGTGAAAAAGCAGACAGAAATAAGGGGAAGGGTCAGTTAGGTGGCATAGTGGATAGTGTGCTGGACTTGGGAGACAGGAAGACCTGAGTTCAAATTCTGCCTCAGACACTTACTAGCTGTGTGATCCTGGGTAAGTTGCTTAGCCTCTCTCAGCCTGTTTCCTCATTCATAAAATGTGGATCCTAATAGTACCAACTCATAGGGTTGTTGTGGGGATGGCAATGCATAAAGTACTGTGCCAATTATATAAATGCTAGCTATTATCATTAATTTATATATACTTCAGAATAATGTCACAGAGTCTGGGTTACTCAAGCCTCTAAATTAGCCAAGGTGAAAGTGATTGTGCTGGAAAGGCAGACTCTCTGGCAGGTACGTCACCAGAGGATACTTTCACAGAGATTGTCCTCGTGCGCACAGCACTGTGTTCAATGTACTTACTATCAATCCAATCCACGTAATGGCATCTTTCTCCTAAATTTTTTTATTGATTTTTTAAAATATCACCTTCATTTCTAAACCTATCCCCTCTCCCATCAGAACCAAGAAGATCGTCCCCTCTGTCAAAGGGAGGGAGGTGCAGCAGGGAGATGCATTTAGGAAAATGCATTTTTCTAAGATGGGGAGAAATTGGACAAATGCTGATCTGTCTTTATCATTGGCACCTGCAAATACCTAAGGTACTTCCAGCCCCATTTACCATGGACAACGCTGTAACGCACAAAAGGGTGGGAAAAGGAGGCCAGGGAGAGAATGGAGTTTGCCCTTCTTATCTGGAGGATTCGACAGGCTCGGGAGGCTTCCACTCGGGAGTCGTCTGTTCCGTGACTATCCCTTGGGAATGCCACCAGCACTGCTGCCCAGGGTGGCAGAGGGAAAAGACGCCTGCCCAGGCTGTCAGGAGGCCACTAACTCACCCTGAGACCTCTCTCTGGGCTTCAGTTTCCTCATCTGTGAGATGAGGAGGAGGGCTGGACTAGATGGTCTCCCAAGGTCCCCTTTCTGGCTCCCTCCAGCCAAAATCAACCTATTCTATGGGGAGTGTTCCACAGACATTGGTCCCTTCCTCCCCAGCTGTGGGAATGACCGCTTTCATCAGCATCAAAGGACAGGTGCTCCTCACTGTGACTGCCACTGAGAGTAATGAGCCTCTCACTGGGGAAGGATGTCACAGGGAGAATCTCTAGGTCATCAAATGCCACCACCTCCTATAAAAATGTTTTCTTTACAAAAACACTTCTTTTTTTTGTTTTGTTTTTGGCTAGGCAATGGGGTTAAGTGACTTGCCCAGAGTCACACAGCCACTAAATGTTGTGTGTCTGAGGCTGGATTTGAACTCAGGTCCTCTTGAATTCAGGGCTGGTGCTCTATCTACTATGCTACCTAGCTGCCCCAACAAAATCACTTCTTCCCTAACGGGATCGGGGCAGGAATGGGGAGGGATGTGAGTGTGTGCCTCAAAACCCTTCCCCCTCATTTCTACATGGCAGGCTGGTTATCGATGACTACATGAGCAGCATCTTTAGGCAGGGAGACCCCAGGTGACATTCTTGGGCAGGAAGCTGTCTCTGTGGCCACCTGTGGTGTTGGGTTTTTTTTGTTTTTGTTTTTAGGCAATTGGGGTTAAGTGACTTGCCCAGGGTCACACAGCTAATAAGTGTCAAGTGTTTGGTGTGAGGCCACATTTCAACTCAGGTCCTCCTGACTTCAGGGCTGGTGCTCTATCCACTGCACCACCTAGCTGCCCCCTCTGTGGCCATACTGTTAACAGCAGGAGGGGAGGGGGACCCCTTTCTGGAAGAAGTTTGCCGCCCAGCTTGTCTTGAGGCTCCAAACTTGACCATCCTCTGTGGAAGGGCATGTTATGGGAGTACCACTATCTTCTTTTCCAGCGTCTGTGGTGGGAACAGGAAGCTTCTCATAATTTCATCAAGTTCTTCCAGGGCGAGCTGGGCATGCAGCTTGGCTGCCTCATCTGGCTCAAAACGGACCACGTGCTTCAGCAGGTGGTAAAGGTCCTTCAGGACATCTCTCAGCACCTGTGGGGAGAGGCACACACACTTCCATGAAAATGTGGCCAGGAGAACAAACCTTTCCAATACTACCCAGCTTCCCCTGACTAGCGATGAGTTACCTTCACGGCCAGCAAGCTCCAGAGAGCAATACTTGCCAAAACTTAATGTTTTTGCTTTACAAAATGGCAGGGGGCTGCCCATATTCCAAGTAGGCGTTCAGCTCATGGGGCCCAGGAGGCCCCCAACTTTCCCCTGCAGCCACTTTCTGAGTCACCCACACTTCAGTTCTCTTCTCTCACCTCAGTGATTCTCTAGCTCCAATGTCTCCTATTTCGACTTTTCCCTGGGAACCAGGAGATTTCTTAGATATCACCCCTCCTGTCCCTCATGACGAATACTCTGATGTCACATTATGATAAGGATTTGTGAAATCTTTGGGAGCGCTCCCAAGGATACCCCCTCTTCTCCTCTCTGGTGCCATAACTTATAGCAAGAACAGGATACTGAGAGGACATGCATTAAGCAGGTTGTGCATTTCCCCAGCCTCCACTTGTCACCCAACTGAAAGGGTGAAGAAGCCCCATAAGAGTTAGGCGGCCAATCTTCACTTTGTGTTTTTGATCAGATATCTTTTTTTTTTAATTAGATATCTTCCACTCAATACAAGAACAGACTGCTCTTCTTCAAAGACTTTTTCCTTCTTGCTGATCAGAAAGTAGGGGTACCATGGGGATGGGGGGAGAGGGAACAGGGAAGACACAGATACACATTGGTTCACTTTCCCTCTCCTTCCTTCCCATCTCCGTCAGAGGTAAACAGGTGAGAGGAACCCCTGAATGAGCAACCTTCCTTAAGGGGCAGGGGTGCACCCTCATTCTGATAGATTCTGTGCCTTATCTGTGACAAGGGCACCTTTGTCCCAGGAGAGTCTACCACCCAGCCAGAGAACACCAGTGGTTGTGGATGGGGTCCTCATTTCAAACTAACCTCATGCCTGTTGGGGCAGAGAACTTGGAAGAGACCCCTCATTTCCCTACAGGGAGCAAGACGGAGATTCTAAATTGTCCCCAGCCCACAGCACGCCCTGTATGATAAGAATAGCAGCAACGTGCACTTCAATAATGCTTCATCCTTGAGTGTGAGTCACCTGTAAAAGGGCAAAGGTTGCTCCCACCAGCTGGAGGATCTCCCCTTTTGGCACCAAGTGTCAGGCACAACTCCTTTTTAATTAAAAACTTAATCCCAATAACTCACCACAGTGCCCTTCCTCACTGAATCCCTGTAACTCTGGGAATCCCACACATCACAGCACTTCCTCTGGACTCCCCATGGATCAAAGCACCATGTCAAGGAGGGATTGTCATCAAATCCCTCAGATCACAGGCTGAGCATGAAGAGAGTTCAAAGGTAAAGCTACACACAGGAGTCTCTGTGGTGGGCAGGATACAGGCAATCCCACCTGGGAAACCTCTCATTAACAGTTCAGCACACCTGCCGCTCATCCCACTCTGTACCGAGGGTGGGGGCTAATTCGTCTAACTCGTTTTACAACAGTGGGTGGTGAACATGAACCTCTTTGCTATCTGAGAGTCAGTTTGATTGGGGATATCCTTAGGAAGTAGTCAGAATTCTTTGAGGAATGTCAAGGAGGGATGGCAAGGGCACTTTGCCAAAAGCATCTGACATTTTTTTCCTCTTCCTGGCATGGACGACTTGTAGCAAGTAAGATGGATGCTGCAGGGATAGGGATGGTCAACCACAATGGACTTGGCCTAGAACACATCATGGAACTCGTGGCTACATTCAAAAGGGCAGGGGACAGCTATAAGCTCTCACAGGTGCACTCACAATAGAAAAGACAAAAATGAGCACTTCTACTTTCCTCAAAGACCCTGATCTAGAATATCCTAATGCTGGATGAGATAGTGAAAACCAAAAGGAAAAAAGGGGCACATTCAAAGTGATTTTCACAAAGTGAAGTCAGAAGAATGTCTCCGATTCTTCTGTTATTATCCTGGGATTAAGTTATCATAAATAATTACAAATGAGCACAATCCCCAGAGAAGGAGCTAAATTAGATCCAGCAGATTTCTCTCTCTCTTTTTTTAAAATAAATTTTAAATGGCGGAGTTTGAACAAAGTAATCTTTAGCACTACAATGTGAAATATAAAAAAAATTAAGCTATATCTCCCTATGGCTAAGAACTATAATTAGTGAATTCTTTGCTCACCTGTCCTATTACCCACTGTTCCTTTCCAGACCCCAACTCTAGATTCCTCCTACCATCTCCTTTCAACCCTCTTATGTTGCTGAGCAAAGACAGAGGAAGTCCCATTACAAATGACTGGATCCATTACAGATTAATGCTGTCCAGTCTCATCTGGGCCCTTGCTGTTACTTGTTAAGCCTTTCACTTTTCCCTGATTGACTTTATATCCCATTGTCTCTTCTAAAGGCACCTACAATATCACCAACACCACCTCCTTTCTGCCAGCAGAGGACCTTGTTTCATCTTTCACTGAAAAAAAATGGTGGCACTTATCCTTAATTCTTTCTTGTCCACTTCAATGTCCTCTCCTCCTTCGGTCCAGTCTTGAAGAATAAGTTGGCCAGCTCCTTCAACCATCCCCTCTCTCTCCATAATTATAAACTTCTACTTAGCCACTGAGTCTTTTCCCTGCTGCTTACCAAGCTGCCCAGAATTCCCCCATTCTTAAAAAGCCTTCACTTGATACTACTATCCTCCTCAAGCTAGCATTCTATAGCTCTCTTTCCTTTCAGAGTCAAACTCCTGGAAAAGCCCATCTATACTTTTGTCTCCACTGTTACCTCCCACTCACTTCTCAACCTTCTACAAACTGGCTCCATTCTCATGATTTGATGGAAACTGCTCTCTTTAAGGTTACCAATGATTGTGTTCATGCTAAGTCCAAAGACCTTTATTCACTCTACTTTCTTGACCTTTTTATAGCATTTGAATATTTTGATCACTCCCTCTTTCAGGAGAGTCTTTCCTCCCTGGGTTTTCATGGCACTTTTCTCTTGTGCTGTTCTCTTCCTACATGCTGAACTGATTATTTTCAGTCTTTTTTTTCAGTTTTATCTTTCACATCCTGGCCTTTATGTGTGATGGGCTATGTCCTAGATCCAGTCTAGTCTTGCCCTCTGCTCTCCCTCTCTGTCTCTCATATCAAATCAGTTTCCATGGATTCAACAACCATCTCTATGCCATGTCTACATAGCCATCTCTCATCTCTCTACAATAACATTCTCTTATCTTCAACTGGTCATCACCTAGAAGATCCACAGGCATCTTAAATTCAAGATATCTCAAATATAACAAACTATCTTTCCCCTTAAACTCACTCCTAGTAACTTCTCTATTTTTGGTGAGGATAGTTCCACTTTTCTTGGCTTAGGTTCATAATCTAGGCATTATTTATGACTCTCATTCCACACTCTCCCCCATTCCAATCCAATTAGTTGCCAAGTCCGGTCAATTATACTCCTCAATATCTCTCTTTTCTCTCCGCACCATAACTGCCCTGGTTCAGGCCCTCATTACCTTTCATCTGGACTATTACAACAGTGTCCAAAATAATTCCCCTGCATCCAGTCTCCCTCCTTCTCCTCCTTCCTCCACAGACATGCCAAACTAATATTTCTTTTTTCTCACTTAATACGATTTTTTATTTTCCAATTACATGTAAAGACAGTTTTCAACATTCATTTTTATAAGATTTTGAGTTCCAAATTTTTCTCCCTCCCTCCTCCCTAAGACAGCAAGCAATCTGATATAGGTTATACATGTACAATCATGTTAAACATATTTCCACATTAGTCACGTTGTGAAAGAAGAATTAGAACAAAAGGGAAACACCATAAGAAAGAAAAAACCCCCAAAAAAACACACACCAAAAAAAGTGAAAATAGTATGCTTCAAACTGCATTCAGACTTCATACTTCTTTTTCTGGATGTGGATGGCATTTTCCATCATGAGTCTTTTGGAATTGTCTTAGATCACTGTATTGCTGAGAAGATTTAAATCTATCACAGTTGATCACAAACTGATTATTTCTAAAGCATAATTCTGACCATGTCATAAGAAATTAACCTTTTGTATAACATGTACACATCTCTACTTGGCATTTAAAGTCCTTCACAATCTGGCTCCGGTCTTTTTTTCTAGACTGGTTACACATCATTACCCCTCAGATGCTCCATTCATCCTTTCCAGGCTGCATTCTGGAATTCCTCCACCATGCCTCTGAATCCTCTTCATCCTGGAAACTCTCTGTTAAGTTGTTGTCCAGTTATGCCCAACTCTCCGTGACCCCATTTGGGGCTTTTTTGGAAAAGATACTGGAGTAGTTTGTCATTTCCTTCTCCAGCTCATTTTATAAATGAGGAAACTGAGGCCTGCCCAGGGTCACACAGCTAGTAAATGTCTGAAGCCACATTTGAACTCAAGAAGAGTCTTCCTGTCTTTAGGCTTGGCACTCTATCCACTGTGCCACTTTGCTTCAGTCCTGGAGTTCATACACGGGAAGTACCCTCTGCCCCTACAGTCCTTCCATCTGGCCAGATGGCTTCTCCCAGAATTTCCATTTCAGGAGGGCGCCTGGTCAACGAGGTCTCATACCTCTCCAGACTTTCTCTAACATTTCCTCTCTCCAAGGTACGCCCCTCCCTTTCCTTTCCTCCCCTCCTTTTCATCTTCCTTCTACCTACTGTTTTCTCCCTTTAGGATGTAAGTGCCTTGAGGGCAGGGAGTATCTTTCTGCTTTTTTGGTTCCCACAGCTTAGCAAAGTGCCTGGCATATAGTAAAGGCTTAATAAGTGCCTGTGGCTGGCTGACTATGCTCCAACCAAATCTGTCTGCTTGTGTTTAACTGTGTGACATTCCATCTCTTGTCAATATACCTTTGTATAGGCTGTCCCCTATGCCTAGAATGCTTTTCCTCCTCACAAAGTGGGGAAGGACTGAACAAATTCTGGTACATCAGTGAAAATGTAACATTA